ACTAATATTGTTGATTTGAACACTGCCACCTCAAGCTTCCCTTTCAACTTCTCGGGGTTGTTATTTATCTTTTCAGATCCTTCCAGCAAATGTCTTCTTCTATTATTAATACTGGCACCTAATTACATCATCTAATTAAATTCTGTAATTACACACAGATCTATTTATGTGTATCAGTATTTCTGTATGAGTGCATGGGTACGTGTATATATAGATAACACTATGCATGAATATACATATATTAGTATAGGTATGTGAGCAAAATTGCATCCACATTTGCATCTGTGTAGATGAACATATCAGGCTCATCACAGTTGAGATTTCAATTCTATTTTTCTCCCATCCAGGACAAGCTGTTTATAGCTTTTCCTGTTACCCTTGTATGTCCTCGTCTTGTGCTACTGTTGTAAAAACTAAACAAAAACAAAGTAAGCTAAATATACTATGGGAGCAGTAATTAGGCCTTGGTTACAATATAAAGTGTAACCAAAATCAATTACGTAGTATTATTATAACCATAAAAATATCACATTTTCTGTGGTCGGCAATTATCAGAAGCCCAATTCCACACACCTGCGAGTCTGTGATTCCTGAGAAAGTGCTTGGACATTAGTCCAGCTCCAACTTATCTTCAAAGAACGTGTAGAATCCTTTAACACACTCACTTTACTGCAGCAAGTGTGAAAGCATTTAGGTTGGACAAAACCCAGAGTATAGCTACCAACGGTACATTTACTGCACTTCACACATCTGTCTAGAATGTGCCTCCATTGTTGAACAAGAGGAAGTGACCTACTGTGCATGTACAATTTTATTTACATTGCAAACACCTCATGTGTCCAAAGACAGCAAAGTCATGTCCAAAATCATGAAGCTGAACAGACTTCAGATCCGAAAGAAATGAAAGGAACTTGTGTAGGTCAGTCTTTTTCTGCAATCACCTGCAGTGAAGTGACAATGAAATTAAAGAATTTGGAGCTTTTTGTCACTGCTGTTTATTGCACAGTATGTTTTAATGCAGTTAGTACTAAACTGAAATTAGAGACCACACAAATCCACTGTTGGAATGGAGGAGTAGCGCGCCGGTCCCGAGTGGGGGGGTGAAGTGCTCTGGTGGGTATGAAGAGGTAGAGGCGTGGTATGAGATGAGGCGGTAGGTCGAAGGTGTTCTCCCGACGACAAATTCGCACTGCTGTGCGCTTAATACGAATTTGTTATAGAGTAAGCAAGTAATTTTCACAAGGTTCGTACTAGAGGATTGTTCGTGCTGTTGACAAGTAATCATTCTAGGTAGACGTTAGGGAATAGACGATGACAGATCCACAGGAAACAATTTAAAAGTATCCATAACTCATTGAGCACACTGTCAAAGGCTGACGAGGTGCATGCAAGCTACCTGGATTTCATCCTAATCATTTCAAATTTTACTTTTTAAACAAATGGAGACCATAAGTACAAATGCTATAGAGTAAAGCAACATTTCCCAGTGTGACTGACCAGTCTCAGAGTGTCTCAGGTGTCGCCCAGTAACCTACACAGAAGTGTTCACTGTGGCTCCAGCACTTATTCAACAGAATAAGTAACAAGGTATTAGTCTTCAGGCTGAAGGTCAAAACAGATGTTTATTAAAAAACAAAAATTAAAAACTACAAAAAACCCAAAATGAAAAAAAAGCATACAGAGCCTAATGCATTCATAACACAACAAAAACTCATCCTTTGGCTTCTGAGCAGTGGGTGATAACTGCTAACGGGATTGCAGTGAGAAGGCAAAACCACAGTGCACATATATATATCTATAAAAACAAAATGTGTTGTTGAAAGCCCCTTTCTGGGTTGCTTTTACAAATTAAACATGCAGCCATGTGATATGGTACGATTACAGCATATCGTCATCATCTCCTCCTCCGTACATGTCGGCCAGTTTCTTAAAGCGAGGGCCCCATTCATTGAGGCAGTCATAGTTCTGGTCTCCACTACTTGAAGAGTTCAAAGAGGAGAGGCTTCCTGCATCAGAACCACCTCCCTCATAGTCAAACACCAGCAGGGAGTCATAAGGGGGTGCTGTTGGGTCGTTGTCTGCAGCCTTCAGGTTCTGTTGGAGGAAATTTTACACAACTTACGTTATTCTGCTCCATGTGAGGTAATTGAAGTAACAGAATAATAAACGTGACCATTATCAAAGCACAGACATGATGTACTCTTAGCCAAAACACCCATCTTCTGCCACTTATATGGGAGCAAGTTAAACAACTCCCTCTTTTTCTTCTCTTAAAAACTAAATAAATTAAGATTCCCGTCACCATGACTGGAGCCAAAGTAATGCCATCCAGCTTAAGTATGTCTAAGATTTTAGAGCAGGTCACCTACCAATCGGAAGGTTGGTACACTGCAGACCAAATATCCTTGAGCAAGATACTAACATGTGTGATAACATTAGACAAAAAGCAATGAAAATGTATGCACTCCCTTCAAATGACATAAGTGCTTCCATGAGGCAGTAAGAGCTGCTTAGGTTCCCATTTTCTGTAATACTGTGGTCAATGTTATCAAATGATGCACTGAATTCACACCTCAGTACCACATTTCATTAAGTTTTAAGGAGCTTTAGAATCTCACTCACATCTTCAATGAAGTTGCCAATCTCCTCGGGGTTGGCAGGCCGTGGCCGGTACTGAGGAGCAGGCATGAAGTTTGGCACCACTTCATTCCTTAACACATCAGGCCGGTTGTCCAGGCCACGGTGGAGAACACTCAGGTCATAGTCCTGAAAGAAGGTGATTTAATGATGCATTATTACATGGACTATTTTTGCTGTACTTCTGCAATCCACTCTCTTCATCCACTTAGCCCATTGTCTACTCAAACTTTTCTATCAGTAAATAGCCTGGGTCAAATCACTGAAAAGGAACAAATTTGATCAGCCTTTTTAAACATTTCATCTCAAAAAGAAAAACTCAGGGTTTCTGTTCCTGAGACGTGTGTGTGCAGCTTTGATTAATGTGTAATCAGAATGAGTGACCCTTTACCTGATCATCCTCGCCACCTCCTTCTTCATCATAGTAATAGACGTTGTCTCTGACACCATCATCCAGCAGGAGTGGCTCCTTTTTCTCCCTTTTCCTCTGTTTTGTAAACAGCAGCACTAGCAGCAACAGTGCTGAACACAGAGCGTAAAGTTTAGCACAGAGTAACCAACCAAATCCTACTTAGCTGGGAAAGAGATGCACCGTCCTGAGACTACAGATGTGTGACTCACCGAGCAGCAGGATGGCTCCAAGTATTCCAAGGATAAGGGGCAGGTTGCTGGCAGCTGCACCATAGCGTCCTGGACCTGAGCATGCAGTGAAGTCTGTGCCCCTGCAGTCACACACTTTAGCTGTGATGATGTTGTCCTGCCCCAAGCCATGTTTGTCTGCCACTCTCAGTATAACACTGTAATCTCCACTGGGCAGCTCAGCGGCCAAATTCAAGATGATGCCCGTTCCTGAAATAAGACAGCAGATATTTTACTTAATTCTGTGTTGATGGATTTGCTTTGTCTCACTTTCACCAAGCTTTACCACCTCTTCAAAGCCATGTTGCACCAATTACTCTAATCTCAATGTTCAGTGGTGAACACTGAATCATGTCCGACCTAAACAATCCTGACATTTGCAAATCACATGTTAGCAGAAAAAATACATATTTTGGTTTCTGAACCAAAATATTTAAAAGTCTGGCCATCTCATCAGTTTATACTTGTCACATGTTAGCAGTGTACATACTGGTTTCGTTCATCCTAGCGGTCCAGTTGGTCTTTGACATGCCCTGTAAAGACACCAAGTAGGGAGCTCCAAATTCTGGTCCGTCTTTATCTGTTACTGACAGCAGCTGAGGAGCTGGATCCTTGTTGCACACCTGAGGAAACAAAGTCACAGTG